AAAAATACAAAATGGCTGGGCCGGTGAGTTGCGCGCCTGTAGCTCGCAGGCTACTCGGGGGCTGAGCCAGAGAGAAGGCGTGAACCCGGTGAGGTGGAGCTTGGCAAGGGAGCCGAGATCGCGCCACTGCACTCCAGCCTGGGCCACAGAACTAGTTCCGTCTCAAAAAAAAAAAAAAAAAAAAGGTGTGTAAAGTGAAAAATGTAAGGTCCCTTCTGTGCACTGCCTCCACCAAAATCCCACTTCCAGGGAGATGAACATTAAGTTTGATGTGCAAACTTCCAGACCGGTGTGTGTGTGTGTGTGTGTGTGTGTGTGTGTGTGTGTGTGTGTATGCACATGCATGCAGACATGTACACACAATATGCATATGTCATTCTTCTAAAGATAATCTTCTACTGGAGTACCTTCACTTGGATCATTTCTGGAATCATGTTACACATTTTATAAGACTCATCGGTCAATCAGCAACATCTTTGGGACATGTATTAGGGATAAACTTCCAAGTTAGTCCATACAAATACAGCCTCATTCTTTTTAAGAGCTGCGTGTTATTTCATAGCTGGGGTGAACCACAATTTATCTAACCATTCAGCAACGAAGCTCCAGCAACACTTTGGATGATTTCCAGTTTTTCATTCTTTTTGGCTGTTGCTTTTATAAACATCCATATATATTATAGATCTGGTTTTGGAGATGGATTTCTACAAATAGAATTGCTGGCAAACAAGTTTTTAAAACCCAGTTTTATTTTTTACATATATGAGTAAAGGCACTTTAGCAAATTCTGTCTGTTTATTCATGAGCATGCTCATTCGATAAACCTGTTGAGTGCTTCCTGCTCCAGATACCGTGCCAGGGATACAACTGTGGACACAGCAGAAATGATCTCTTTCTTTATGGAAATTATAGCCGAGAAAGGGAGATTTCCCATATCTCCGCTGCCCTTGTCTCTAACACATTTTAAAATGGGAGGAGAAGGGGGAGTGTTTTCATCAGAAGAGACTGCATGGTGAAAATCCCTGTTGAATTTCTCCAAGGGCAGCCATCAGCTATCAAGGGACACCCCCCCATAAACTCTGTGCAGGGAGCAAACAGGCTCAGTTCTCTGGGCTGCAAGGTGGGGCTGCCCCGCTCTCCCAACTGGGCCCCATCATGTGGGCAGAAGGGGAAGTAGCAGCTACCCGAAGAGCTGGCCGGTGTGTGCCTGAGGGAGGGCCCTGGGGACCTGCGGTGTGTCATTGCACGTTGATGGTTTCTGTTTTTCCTCTCTCTTCTCAGGAAGGTATCAGCAGGGCCTCTGGTAGGGGAGTGGCCACCTTCTGGGATCCTCACCCTGGGCCTGAGAGGCAAGCACTGTTCCCAAAAGGTTTCTTGGGATGGGATGATGTGCTGGCCCTTGGTGGTGTTTGCGGGGGAGCCAGGGCCCCGAAGGTGGGGCCAGTTTCCCGTTCTTACCCTGGAGGCCCAGGGGAGCCTCCCGCCAGGTCATTAGCAGAGCCAGGCTCTACCTGGGTTTCCTGCTTTTCCGCCCCACTTGCAGTACCTGTTGGTCCTACCTCAGGAGGCTGAGGGCTCCCTGTCCCCTCTTGCTGGCCAGACTGTCCCCCGATATAGCAACTGCTGTCCAGTTAGCACTAACTGGGGCTCAGACGCCAGCTTTCCGTACCACTCCCAGGAGGTGGTGGGGGATCTTAGTTCAGCCTCAGCCTTGCACCGGCCTGAAAAAGGCTGGACTGGCTCATGGGCCGGTGAAATAATCACCATCATCTCACTTTTGCCACGAGTGGGCCTTGCAGCACAGTGCTTTGCATTTGTCATTTAATCCTCAGGAAAACCTACGCAGTGGTTCTGTGGTATCACCCCCATGTCACAGATGGGGAAACTGAGGGTGAGGGTCACAGGCTTTGTAACTGCCCTGCCCCCTGCCTGTCTCCTGCCTTATCTGCTTCCACCCCCAGCCCCCTCCTTCCGGCCAGGCTGTGTCCTGTCCCTGCTGGTCCCTCCAGCCTGCTGTTTCCTGCCTCCCAGTCTGTTTGCAGTTTTCTCTGCCTGGAAATACCTCCCCCAGATCCTGAGTTTGTGTCTGAAGTAGCTCCCCACCCCACACCCCAGCACTGTGTTCCTTCACCCTGCCTTCTCAGCCCTGGGCCCTTCTCGCTGCCAGGCATTCGGGGGGTTTGCCAGGTGCCTGTCTCCACCATGGGGATAGCATGGGGCATGTCGGGCAGGACTTGGTCACTTTCATCTCTGTGCCTAGAACAGTGTCTGGCACATAATAGATGTCCAGTTAGTGCATGCTGAATACAACCGTCCTTCCTCCCGGGCCCCCAGTCCTCCCTCCATGACTGTTCACTCGAGGTTGCGCCCCGTACTGCGCGCTCTCGCGTAGCCCCGCGCTCCTGTCTTCCCAACACTTTCCAATGTCAGGAGTAGATGTTTGTTTATTTGCTTACTCTCTGCTTCCCCAACTAAACTGTGGATTCCCCGAGGGTCCTCGTTGTATTCTCTGATCCCGGCTGGTGTCTCGCTCCTGGTGGAGCTTGGTGAGCATGTGAATGAATGGGTGAGTGGACAGTGAAGCAGAAGAGCAGAGGCTGGAGCCAAGTTCTCCCATATTCAGGCCCAGCCTCTTGGCGTTGTGCTGCCTCCTCGTTTCAAATTGCGAGTCTGAAAGGAGCTCCTGGATACAGCTCAAGACCAGGCACAGGTGCCCAGGGTGGTCAGAAGTTGTCACAATGCTGCAGCTTCTTGGGATGAATTGTCCAAAGGCAGCCATCAGCTCGCAGGGACACCCCTCAAATTCCATTCCGGGAGTTTCAAATGGAGCATCCCGGGTTCTCTCCAAGTTTGTTTCATTCTAAATCTAGTTTTCAGTCAAGATGAAACTTCGCCCCAGAAGGCAGGAGCCCTGGAGAAAATTTCTCTTGGTATCCCTGAATTCTTCTCTTGCGGTGGGTGTGTGAGGAAAGACTGATAGTGTTGGAGGGCATGTAAAGATGCATCTTATTGGCTGGGCCTGGTCCCTCACGCCTGTAATCCTAGCATTTTGGGAGGCCAAGGCAGGAGGATTGCTTGAACCCAGGGTTTGAGACCAGCCTGGGCAACATAGAGACTCCATCTCTACAAAAAAATACAAAAATGAGCTGGGTGTGGTGGCATGCAGCTGTAGTCCCAGCTACTTAGGATGCTGAGGTGGGAGGATTGCTTGAGCCTGGGAGGTTGAGGCTGCAGTGAGCTATGATTGCACCACTACACTCCAGCTTGGGTGACAGGGTGAGACCCTGTCATGGAAAAAAAAAAAAGTTTTCATTTATTTTTGCTAGTCCTGCAAATAATACACATTTATCATAGCAAAGTTGTGGAAGTCTCACCGCCCACAGACAGCCATTTAAGTAGTGTGGTATTTCCTCCAAGTCAGTTCAGTGTGTATTTTTGCCCTTTTTGGGGTGAGAGGGGCATAATTCTGACCAGACAATATAGTCAACTGTATATCACCCTTCTCCCCACTTAACCTTATACAGTAATATAAATAGTAATCAATAAAGTCAGGTGCAGTGGCTCACGCCTATAATCCCAGCCCTTTGGAAGGCCAAGGCGGGTGGATCTCCTGAGGTTAGGAGTTCGAGACCAGCCTGGGCAACATGGTGAAACCCCATCTCTACTAAAAATACAAAGATTTGCCAGGCATGGTGGCGCATGCCTGTAATCCCAGCTACTCGGGGAGCTGAGGCATGAGAATCGCTTGAACCCGGGAGACAGAGGTTGCAGTCTGCCTCCTGGGTTCAAGCGATTCTCTCACCTCAGCCTCCCAAGTAATTTGGACTATAGGCACATGCCACCACACCTGGCTAATTTTTTTTTTTTTTTTTTTTTTTGAGACAGTCTCACTCTATTGCCTGGGCTAGAGTGCAGTGGTGCGATCGCGGCTCACTGCAGCCTCCACCTCCTAGGTACAAGCGATTCTTGTGCCTCACCCTCCCAAGTATCTGGGATTACAGGCGCACACCACCACACCTGGCTAATTTTTGTATTTTTAATAGAGACTGGGTTTTGCCATGTTGCACAGGCTGATCTCAAACTCCTAGCCTCAAGTGATCTGCCTGTTTCGGCCTCCCAAAGTGTTGGGATTACAGGTGTGAGCCACGCTGCCTGGGTGCAGCAGGACGTGGCGGGGAGCCTGGCCTCCATTTTTCTCAATCTATATAAAAAGTTTTAAAATCACTTCCTGATAACCAAGCAATTATGGTTGTTTTTAGTATGTCACTATTATAATTTTATAATGGCACTGTTATTATAATGGGATTTTGATTAACATCATTATGCATTTTTTTTTTTAAATTTAAGACTTTCATTAGGGCAGAGTCTTAGATTTGGAATTATTGGATTAAAATGGTATGGATATTTTAAAGGTTCTTGCTGTTTATTGCCAAGTTGCTTTCCTGAAGGCTCTTGCCAGTGCAGGCTCTCGTTAGTAGAAAGTGTTCATCTCAGTACTTCCTCACAGCAGCAGATATTCATATATATATATATACATAATTATTATTATTATTTTTGAGATGGAGTCTCGCTTTGTTGCCCAGGCTGGAGTTCAGTGGCTGGATCTCAGCTCACTGCAAGCTCTGCCTCCCGGGTTCACGCCATTCTCCTGCCTCAGCCTCCCGAGTAGCTGGGACTACAGGCGCCCGCCACCTTGCCTGGCTAGTTTTTTGTATTTTTTAGTAGAGACGGGGTTTCACCGTGTTAGCCAGGATGGTCTCGATCTCCTGACCTCGTGATCCGCCCATCTTGGCCTCCCAAAGTGCTGGGATTACAGGCTTGAGCCACCGCACCCGGCCTATTCTCATATTTTTAATGCTCTCTTAATTTGCTAGATAGAAAATGGCATCTGTTAGTCGACTTGGAATGTGTATCCCTGAGTCCACCTCCCCGGCTTTTACCCCAGGGCTGTGGGTAGAGGAATGTCCGTGTAAAACACTATCTGAGATTTTGTCTTGCAGCTGACTTCGGTGTGTCTGCCAAGAATCTGAAGACTCTACAGAAACGAGATTCCTTCATCGGCACTCCTTACTGGTGAGTCGTGTAGCTTCTAGAAATGGAATGAACTGGACGTTAAAACTCTCCAAGGTGACCACTAGGCGCTGTAGACAGAGCGGGGCCGGGAGACAAGAGCTGCCAGGTCAGCCTGTGGGCGCACGCCTAGCCTCGTGGCTTACTAGCCATGTGACCTTGGACGAGCTGCTTAGTTTTCCCGTGCCTCAGTTTCTTCATCCATAAAATTAGGGATATAATAGCCCCTACTTAATAAGGCTACTGTGAGAATGAAATGAAATGGTGCACATAGAAGGCACTCCATTGATAACTGAACTAGAATCTCTACAACAGGATTCAGTTCGTGATTTATTCACCACGTGTGTATTGAGGGCTGGGGATGGGGGCCGTGAAGGTGAACAGTACAAGTTCGGTTCCTACCCTCATGTGAAGTCTTCCTGGACTTCTCTAGTCTGTCGTGTTTCCTTCTTTTCCAGAACTATTACTTTAAAAACAAAACACTGTCACTCAATTTCACGCCTGACTACTCTCTGCCTTGTTTTCAGTTTTTTCATGTGCATTACTTGCCATTGTGGAGTTTGGGCTCCTTTCTTGCTTGCTTGTTACTCACCCTTGCTCTCTCTCTCCCCCCTTTTATACCTGTTTCTCCTTCTCTCTGTGCTATTGTCTTCTCGCCCACCCACCTCCACGCCCTGGTTTTTTGCTCCGCACCTTCCCTCCACTCCCACCCGACCCCTCCCCAGGACTCTGTGTTCCGGGTTGCTGCTGCCATCTCGTGGTAGGCATCGGAACTGCAGCAGGACGTGGCGGGGAGCCGCGTGGAGGCGTTTTTCTGTGGAAGAGCGTCCTAAGGAAGACAGTGGGATGCAAAGTCATGCAGATCATGATTCGGGAGTGCTGCCAACCCCCAACAGTGGCTCGTGGTGGCCCTTGACCCTGAATGTCCAAGAAGCACCCGTGGAGGCCAGATTCTTAGCCCTATGTTGTCCCTTGGTTGGTTCAGGATGGCCCCCGAGGTGGTCATGTGTGAGACCATGAAGGACACGCCGTACGACTACAAAGCCGACATCTGGTCCCTGGGCATCACGCTGATCGAGATGGCCCAGATCGAGCCGCCACACCACGAGCTCAACCCCATGCGGGTCCTGCTAAAGATCGCCAAGTCGGACCCTCCCACGCTGCTCACGCCCTCTAAGTGGTGAGGAGCAGGGGCAGGGCCACCTGCCGGGGTGCCTGCGCCGGTTAGGGCTGGGATATGCGGTGGGCGGGGCTGGGGAGGTGCAGCGGTAGGGTTCTCCTGGTGCTGCTAGCCGCAAGAGGAGACTGGGCCTGGGGGTCTTCCGGCCTTTCTGAGTCCCCCCGGGCCCTTCGTGCCTCTTTTTCCCTTTGTGTTCCTTTTTTTTTTTTTTTTTTTTGAGATAGGGCCTCACTCTTTTGCTCAGACTGGAGTACAGTGGTGCAGTCATAGCTCACTGCAACCTCGACCTCCTAGGCTCAAGAGATCCTCGCATCTCAGCCTCCCTTGTAGCTGGGACTACAGGCACCCACCACTATGCCTGGCTAATTTTCTGTAGAGACAAGGTCTCCTATGTTGCCCAGGCTGGTCTTGAATTCCTGGCCTTAAAGGGATCCGTCTGCCTTGGCCTCCCAAAGTGCTGGGATTACAGGCGTGAGCTACCGAGCCCCCTCTGTGCTCTTGACATGAGATCTTCACCAGCACAAACCAAGTCACCCAAATAAGCCAGCTCCCACTGGGAGAATAGGAGCCCCAGCTGAGCCGTAGGAGCCACATGGCACAACCCTGGGCGGGACATCGGGGGCCTGGGTTCAAATCCCGGACCTGCTGAGTCTCCTCACTGTGCGGCCTGGGCAAGTCCCTGCTCCCCTCTGATTTCTGGGTCCCCATCTGGACAGGGATGTCCATGATGAAAAGGGCGTCGTGTAGGCCCTTTCGCTGTTCTAGCTTGTGAAAGTTCCCTCTGTCGTTTGAGGGGGTGATTGGGACAGTGGAGTGTGTGACGTGGGGGACTTCTCTCTGCTCTGGCCTCCTCCGTGCTTATCTCTGATGCTTGTCCTCCCAGGTCTGTAGAGTTCCGTGACTTCCTGAAGATAGCGCTGGATAAGAACCCAGAAACGCGGCCCAGCGCGGCGCAGCTGCTGGAGGTGAGTGGATTCCCCTCCCCCTCTGCTCTCTGAAGGGCGGAGCCCAATGAACTCACCAGTGACCTGGATGCTGGGCGTGTTCTCACCCCGCCCAGGGGACAGCATGGACAGCTGTGCGTCCCTCAGCCGGTATTCCCCAGGCACCTCCTGAATGCCAGCTCTGTGTTGGGAGTGCCTTGGGGAACGAAGCCACCCAGAACCTGTCCTCATGGAGCGTGTGCTCCAGTGGGGAGACAGGCGGCAAATAAGCAAGTATGTGCGCATAGCAGAGGGTGGTCAGTGCCACGGAAGGAGGTCCGCAGTGCGGGGTGGGGCGCCTGGGAACGGCTGTTGTCTTGTAAGAGAGGATAAGGAAGGGCTCTCCAGGTGAGCAGATGCCCACGGGAAGGGAAGGAGTGAGGCCAGTGGCCCAGAGAGAGAGGAGGCAAAGGCCTGGGACTGCAGCATGTTCCGCACATGCTGGGAAGAGCCAGGGGGTGGGGGTGGGAGTGGGAGGTGGGGGAGCCGGAGCACAGGGGCCAGGGGAGGGGAGGGGAGAGAAGGGGAGATGAGAGCGGAGAGGCACTGGGGCATCCGCCCCAAGGCTCAGTGGTTCCCTAGGAGAACACCTGGCCTCAGCATATTCTCTCCCTCCGGAGACTTAGGACAGCAAAAGCACAGAGAGAACTCAGCCCAAGGAGGAGGCGCGTGGGAAAAGGTCTCGGGAGCCAGGTGCAAGCTTCCAGGGCCCTCTCCCAGTACAGTCACCAGAACAGCTTAATTCTCTGTGCTGTCCACCAGGGAAGCCCCTTAGGACTTTTACTGGGTAGTGGTCACATGGGCACGCCCTGCCTGGCACAGACCAAAGTTCCAGACTCTAGAAGGCAAACAGGTATTCAGCCTAAGCCATATTGTTTGCAGAACAGTTTAGGCAGAGCAGGCCACTCTTACCAGTTAATGGTGGGAGCCCTCGCCTAGTCTGCAGAGACCAGCTGAGGATTCAACCTTGTTAGCGGCCCTTTCTGAAGCTTGCGGTGCTATTTTCTACACACAGGGTCCTGCAGGGCCTTGCAAGCCAGAGCCAGGTCTTGGGCTTTATCTGTGCATTCGGGGAGACACAGTATCCGACCTCCATTTACAAGGGTCCTTCTGCCTTCTGGCTGCTGTGTGCAGGATCAGGAGACTCTGAGCATCTCATTAGCTGGCAGTATTGTCTTAGAGTGGGCAGGTGGATGATGGTTTCCTGGAAGCTTTTTGAACTGTTGGAGGGAGCTGTGAGCCACCCTTTGCCTGGGCCCGTGCCTCGTGTTAGGGTGTCATGGCTGGCAGCTGGGTGAGGTCGGTGTGTTCACAGCAGTGTTCTGAAGGCTGTGCACAGCACTTGCCCAGCCGTCTGCAAATCTGCCGACCACTATCCACATGTCACTGCCACTGATGGAAGAGGGAGGAATGGGCCTGGGTGATGCAACAGGTCTGCCCTTTCACTGCTCTGTCTGCTCCGGCTCTACCCCCAGCATGACAGTCTTAGAGGTGCGGTGGCAGGAAGGGGAGGAAGGGGCCACTTGAGTCTTTATATTCACCCAGCTTTTCCCAGCTTCCTCCTGTGTGCCGTGCACGGGGCCTGTGGTCGGCATTCTGAGCCACTATGTGTCCTTCTGGGGTAGCAGCTTAGTTACTATGAGTGTGAGCTGCGGCAGGAAAGTCGAGGGTTCGAATCCCAGCTCTGCCACTTACTGGCTGTGAGCCCCTGGGCGAGTGGCTGAACCTCTCTGTGACTCGCTTGTCAGTCTGAAATGGGAGTGAAGGGCAGCAGTGCCCTTACTGGGTGGTTGTGAGGATTAAATGAAGAGGTGCTGTGAAGCGCTTAGCTTAACTCTCAAGCACAGTGCTCAAGGAACGCTTGATGCATAGGACCGATGTATTTATTTTTTAAAAAATGAAAGGAACCAGAATGCAAAATGGGGTCTGTCTACTGCCGGGGGTGGGGGGGGTCAGAGCTGTTCCTTTTACATTTCTATAATGTGTTTGAAAGCAAATTTCTGGAGTGCCCAAAGGCCTCATTTTCTGGGTATTGTGGGGAGTGGGCTGGGGCCCCCTGAAGTGGGTGGGGTTGAGTGGGGCTGTTGTCACTGTCCAAGCCGCTTGGGGCCAATTGTTTCCTGTAAGAGGCACCTCCTGCCCTGATGCATCCGGCTTCCAGGACATTCCACGGAGAGACCAGCTGTCCCCCATCCCCGCATGGCAGCTCCGGAGCTGCAGCCTCAGCCAGGAATTTCCGCTCCGTACTTGGAAAAATGTCCTGCCAGAGGATTCTTGCCGTCCAACAGAAAGGGTTGCAGAACAAAGGGACGATCTCTGGAGATGAATAAAGTGCGTTTCATGCCTGCTGCGCTGCTGCTGCTTCACCCACGCACCTTTTCCTCTCCAGTGAGAGAGGGTGGGCATGGTGTTACCCCCTCAGGGGAGGGCACCAGGATCAGAGCAGGGAGGTGACCGGCCCAAGGCCGCTTGGCTTTGAGTGACAGAGGTGGGCCCGGCTCTTGGCTTCCCAGGCCCCTACTCCAGTGCTGTCAGCCTTCAGGGTGCCTGCCTGCTCCAAGAAGCGCCAGGCCCTCACGTCTCCCTGTGTCCTGCCCTGGGCGGAGTGATTCACGCCCCCGTTGGTTTGTGATTCATTCATTGGCTCCTGCAGACATTCTCTGGGCCCGGACCAAGTTGTGGGTAGTAACCAGGCTCTGAAATCAGACACACCACCCCCGCTCCCCGCCCCAGCATCTGCATGGTTCTCACTCTGTGCCTCAGTTTCCTCATCTGTAAGATGTAGAGAGTGCTGGCTGCACAGAATTGTGTGAGTGAATGAGATTTTGTATGGAACATTGTTAACACCACAGCTGTCACATATGAGGTGCTGAGTAGATACTGGCTGAATTTGCTCTTAAACCCGTCCACTCGGTCACAGCTGCTCTTGTCAAGGTCATCAGAGATTTCTGTGCCATGGGTCAGCCTCGGTGTTTGTCTCACTGGACCCATCAACGGCACCAGCCCAGTCGATCTCCTCCTCCTCCTGTCAGCACTCGACCTCCAGACCTCCACACACCCTTGGTCATCAGCCTCTCCTTCTCCGTTGCCTTTGCTCGCCCCGCTTTGGCCCATCTTGTTAGCATGAGAGTGCACAGGGCCCTCCCTCCATCTCCACGTGCCCAGTGTGCAGCACTCCCAGCTCGATGCCTCGGCCCGCGTCCAGCTGTTTACTCCCCAGATGTCCAGCGGGCATCTCATACGAACTCTGAGCACTTGGATCTTTTTGTCGACGTGCTCCACCACTGGCTTTCCCATCTTAGCCGATGGCAGCTCCACCCTTCCAGTGGCTCAGGCCCCAAACCATGCAGGCACCCTTGCTTCTCTTTCCTCCACACTCCTAGCCCACCTATCAGGAAATCCCGTTGTCCCTGCCCTCAGCACATGTCTAGACTTCAACCATTTCCCGCCCTTCCACTGCAGCCACTACCTGGGCTGCCACCACCTCTCACTCGAGCTGCTGCCTCCACGTTGGGTCTGGGCTGAGCACAGCAGCCAGTGGGAACCTTCTCAACAGGGGCCAGCTCATGTCCTGCCCTGGCCGAAGCTCCCCAGTGGCTACCATTTCACTCTAGGGAAAACCCAGAGTCTCAGGGCCGTTAGAGTGCTGTGTGATCCGCCCGCCCACCCTTCTGACCCCCTCGCCTCTCTCGCTCCCACACTCCAGCCTCACTCTGCTCCAGCCTGCCCAGCCCCCTTGCTGTGCTCCGAACACAGCAGGCATGTTCCTGCCTCAGGGCCTTGGCACTGGCTGTCCGTGCTGCCCGGAATGGCCTTCCTCCGGATCCCTCTGTGACTCACTCTCCAAGTCATTGCTCTAATGTCAGCCTTGTGCTGAGGCCTCCCCCAACCACCCACATGAAATTGTGAACCCACTACACTCCCCACATTCCCGGTCCTCTTTCCCTGCCCTACTTCTTCCTTCTTCCATGGCCCATGGCACTCAGGATGTTACTCGCTTATTAGGTTTGTTGTCAAACTCCTCGCTTAGCATGTCAGCGCTCCGAGGTCAGCATCTTTGTTTCGTTCACCAATAGGTCCCAGGAACAGTGCCTGGTATGTAGAGAGCCCTCAGCAAATATTTGCTAAATAAATTGACTTTTTTTTTTTTTTTTTTGAGACGGAGTCTCACTGTGTCTCCAGGCTGAAGTGCAGTGGAGGTATCTTAGCTCACTGCAACCTCCACCCCCTGGGTTCAAGTGATTCTCCTGTCTCAGCCTCCCAAGTAGTTGGGATTGCAGGCATGTGCCACCACGCCTGGGTAATTTTTGTGTTTTTAGTAGAGATGGGGTTTCGCCATGTTGGCCAGGCTGGTCTCAAACTCCTGACCTGAGGAGATCTGCCTGCCTCGGCCTCCCAAAGTGTTGGGATTACACGTGTGAACCACCACGCCTGGCCAAAATTGACTTATTTTTACCTAACAAACGGTTACATAACCCTTTCTCCAGAGATGGTGATGGTGATGGGGACGATGGTGGTGATGACGGTGATGGTGATGATGGTGGTGATGGTAATGATGGTGGTGATGGTAGTGGTGATGGTGGTGAAGGTGATGATGGTGGTAGTACCTCCATGCCAGGTACTACTCTAAGTACTTAGCAAATGTCACCTAATTTAATCCTCATACCAACGCTCTGAAGTAGGTGCTGTTCAGTTCTCCATTGAGCCGATGGTAAAACTGAGGCACACAGCGGTGAAGTAGCCTACACAAGGTCACATAGCCTGTAAGCCACAGAGCTGGGTTCTGAACCTGGTCCTCGGGTTCAAGAGTCTGTGCTCTTGACCTCTCTGGCAATCTGCCTCTCCGAATGAATGAAAGAGCGAGAAGGAGGGAGGGAGACCAGAAGAGAGGGAGAGAGGATTCAAAGAGATGCCAGTGCCTGGAAACTGTGAGCATTATTAGGTGTTTTTATTTTTTAAATTTTTTTAAAATGGAATCTCACTGTGTTGCCAGGCTGGAGTGCAGTGGCCTGATCTTGGTTCACTGCAATCTCCACCTCTTGGGTTCAAGCAATTCTCCTGCTTCAGCCTCCCGAGTAGCTGGGATTACAGGCGCCTGCCACCACGCCCGATTAATTTTTGTATTTTTAGTAGAGATGGGGTTTTGCCATGTTGGCCAGGGTGGTCTCGAACTCCTGACCTCAAGTGATCCGCCCACCTTGGCCCCCCAAAGTGCTGGTGTGAGCCACCATGCCCGGCCTATTCAGCGTTTTTTAAAGCCCATCTTGGAGTATAGAACCCCTCTGGCTGATGGTTTCTAAGCACATAGAGGAAAAGTAGGCTCCAGTTCTTGAAAAGAATGTCTGTTTAGATGGCAAGGGAGGCCCTGGCTAGAGGGCAGGTGCTGGTTGGCGAGTTGTGTGATGCCACCTGTTTTGGCCTTTTTCAGCAAAGATGGCACTGAACAGCCAGCCAGTGCCTCTTACTGGAGGACTGGGCGGTCAAGTTCCTCTGTCATCTAGCCTTCCACTGGGGACACGTGTGCCCAGACCAGCCTACCTGGTGCAGGCTAGCATTCTCCCTTGCAGCATAGCCAGGGCGTTATCTCTTTAATGGGCCTTTAAACACATCTCTGGAGGTGGAGCTGATGGAGTGTCGGAGGTGGTCTGTGTTTTGTGTCCCAGAGCAGTCTGTAAAACAGTGTTTGGGCCTAATTAGCCACAGGACTGGTGGCCCTGTGTGCCAGCCTTGCTTGCTCTGGTGCCCGCAGAGCTGCCCTGCTCACCTGCCTATCACAGGCTTTCTTCCCCATGCCCCCCTTCCTCCTCCTAAGGACGCTGGGGTGGTCGGGGGACGCAGTGGAGCAGATGGTTATGCCTCAAGAAAGCGGAGTTCCTGGCTGTGCTGAAAAGCCACTGATTTGATCAATACATGGGGTGCCCCGATGAAAATCTGGTGTTTCCAGAAGCCCATGTCTGCATTTATTTATTTCTGCCGCATCTGCTTCAGCCACTGCGGTGAAGTGTCCTGTGGCATTTCGCTCAAGTTCACTTGTATTAGATTGTGCAATGTGGAGCTTAGGAACCTTTGAGATCTTGGTTCTCACCTTTGGTTCCAAAGAGCTGTACTCTGGGGGCATTTGGGAGGGAATAGGAGTGACTAGGAATGCAAACCAGGCTTTTCTTTTTTTGTTGTTTTTGAGACAGTCTCCCTGTGTCACCCAGGCTGGAGTGCAGTGGCATGATCTTGGTTCACTGTAACCTCTGCCTCCTGGGTTCAAGCAATTCTTCTGCCTCAGCCTCCTAAGTAGCAGGGATTACAGGCATGTGCCACCATGCCCGGCTAATTTTTGTTATTTTTCGTAGAGACTGGGTTTCACCATGTTGACCAGGCTGATCTTGAACTCCTGACCTCAGGTGATCCACCGCCTTGGCCTCCCAAAGTGCTGGGATTACAGGTGTGAGCCACCGCACCCGGCCATAACAGGCTTTTCTGATTGTGCTGCTGCTCCTGCTGCTGATGGGGGTGATGGTGGTGATGGTAATGGTCGTGGTGATGGTGATGATAGTGGTGTTGGGGGTGATGGTGATGGGGATGATGGTGGTGATGATGGTAGTGATGGTAGTGGTGATGGTGGTGAAGGAAGATGATGGTGATGATGATGGCTGCCATATCCGAGCATTTACCATAATGCTTATAACAGCTGCTCCTAGTATATAGTTGAGCAAACTGAGACTCAAGGTTAAGTGACTTGCCCCAGTTGGTGGAGGCTGGATTTTACCAGGTGCCTTGGTTCTAGCGTCTATAGCCAGCACTCTTAACTTCTATGCTACTTTGCCTCCCATGATTAGTAAACCCTTAATGCCCCACTCAAGACCTCTTAAAAGTACAGAGCAGCCAGAATGACATCTTTAAAGGGTGGTAGTATCACTGCTGCACTGCAGCCTGCTGGTGGCTTGTGAGGACAGTCTCTGTGGTTCACCTGTATACACACCCCATCATTCCTCTGCGTCCTGTGTCCCACCATCCCGCCTGTCTTGTGGCTCCTGCCGCCAAGCTCAGTCCAGTCTCTGGGCCTTCTTTGTATCAGCTGCTCCCTCTGCCTGGAATTCTCTGTGCCCAGATCTTTCCCTGGGGAACCCCTTCATATCCCTTGAATTCGACCTTGAATGAGGCCCCTCTGCCTGCAGACTTTGGTCTCCACCACCCTCAGCTATACAAGATCTGGAATTCTCTTGTGTATCATTTGAGCCCCCGCGCCCGGCCAATTGAACTGTTTTAAATGAACAAACAGATAAGAATGATTTGTGATGAACATATCTTTCTGAATGTGCTTTCCAGGTGCTAGAAATTTGTTTTTTAGTCATTTAAATACTTCCCCAGCAATCTTGTTGACACTTCCTCCCCGGATAAATTTTCTGAGAGTAAAAACAGTGAATTTCTTGAGAGCCTTCCTGTAAATTGTAAATAAGCAAATTCTAGCTTCATCATGCCCCCACCCCACCCCATCACTCCTTTCCCAGTGGCCCTGGGTGAGCATGGTGGGTTGAGGAATCCCACATCCCTGGCTACACCCGGGTGCCTTCACCCACGATACCTCACACTGACTTAATATCGCTAAGACCTTTTGCTTTGGCGTTTTGCAAGGTCCGTAAAAGAACATTCACTTTTAAAGACTCTGACATTTCTCTAAAAACCTAGAATAGAACATACACCACTCTGCCTCAAGATCTTGTATTTCCTTTCTTAAAACCAAACACATATGTCCACCCAAAGACATATACGAGAATGTCTCTAGCAGCTTTATTCGTAGTTGCCAAAAATGGGAAACAGCCCAGATGTCCGGCAGCAGTAGGATGAATAAACAAACTGCCATATTCGTACAGTGAGACCCTGCACAGAAATAAAACAGGAACAGTTTACCGAAATAGACGACAATGTAGGTGAATCTCACAGTCATGACGCCGAGTAAAGGAAGCCAACGCGAAAGACTGCACACACGATGCTCTGATTCTAGGAAGCTGAGGAGCAGGCTCCCGAGGCTGGCGGCGTGGGAGTGGGGTTGCCTGCCAAGGGAGACGGGAGCCTTCCCCAGTGATGGAAATGTTTTGTATCTTGAGCTGGGTGGCAGTTACGCTGGGTGCATATATATGTAAAAAGTCATTGAGGCTGGGCATGGTGGCTCACGCCTGTAATCCCAGCACTTTGGGAGGCTGAGGTGGGTGGATCACGTAAGGTCAGGAGTTTGAGACCAGCCTGGCCAACATGGTGAAACCCCGCCTCTACTGAATATACAAAAAATTGGCCTGGCATGGTGGTGCATGCCTGTAATCCCAGCTACTTGGGAGGCTGAGGCAGGAGAATCCCTTGAACCTGGTCGATGGAGTTTGCAGTGATCCGAGAATTGCACCACTGCACTCCAGCCTGGGCAACAAGAGTGAAACTCTGTCTCAAAAAAGAAAAAAAAAAAAGTCATTGAGGTTTACAACCTGTGAACTTTGCGGTAGGAATGTTATTCCTCAACAAAATGTATGTAGCATATTTTGTAAAACTATATATTAAAACCATTTAAAAAGGAAAATAGACACCCTCCCTGCAAACACGGCTTGAGCTCCTACTTTGGGCTAAGCATTTTCAAGTGCATGATCTCATTTAATCCGCATGACCTCCCTGTGGGTTCCTTGTTGTCGTGTCCACTTGAGAGATGAGGAGCCTGTGGCTCAGAGAGGTTAAGTGACATGCTCAAGGTCACATAGCCACTGAGAGACAGAGCTGGGATCTGCCCTTTTTCCAACACACTTGGGACTTTCCAGGCTGTCTCTGGGTCTCCAAGTTCATGTGTACATTTTGCTCAGGAATGAGGCTGGCCTTTTCTGCCCTGGGGGGTAAGCTCCCCCAGCCTCTTCCACCCCACCCTGACCCCAGAGTGGTTCTAATCTAGGTACATTTTGCCCTCTCAGCATCCCTTTGTCAGCAGCATCACCAGTAACAAGGCTCTGCGGGAGCTGGTGGCCGAGGCCAAGGCCGAGGTGATGGAAGAGATTGAAGACGGCCGGGATGAGGGGGAAGAGGAGGACCCCGTGGATGCCACCTCCGTAAGGCCGGGGAGAGTGGGGCTTAGCGGGGGCTGGGAGGACGGGATCTCAGCTGGCCCTGCTGGTGTGGGAGGGGCAGGGAAAGCCGGGACTCTGGCTCAGGCAATTTCTTCCCAGCTCAGAGGTTGCAGACGCCCATGCTGCAGGTAACGTAAGTTGGCCTGTGGGCCGGGGGCGGGGGGTTGGCGGCAGAGGGTGTTGGCCGGATCCTGATCCTGCGAGTTTTCAGGAGATACCAGGGATCTAGATTTTCACATGAAATCTTCCAATTTTTAAGAGTTGGTAACTGATTCATGGCTTCCCATCCTTTGTTCCCGTCACGGCTCACATCCCAAATGAGACTGTTTTTAGCTCACTTTGGGATAAATACGTGAGGCTGCATATGGCCACAGGCAGCACCCTGGCCCCCCTCTAGCTGTGCTCGGTGCCAAGGGAACCCATGTCTGGGCACATTTGGAACGCTTTTGCAGCTTCAGTGCTTGCTGGATTTAGATTGAAATTAAAGCTGATTTAAATTTCTAAAAACCCTCTGAGCCAAGGAAAACATGTCTGTGGGCTGGATTCTGGCCCGAGCTGTTGCTCTGTAGTCCCTGGTCTTGCTGCTGGGGGAGGCCTCTTCCCAGGGATAGGGTGGCCGTCCCGATGGCTCCCTGTACCTAGAGAAGCAAGGGCTGGACTTACCCATCACGGGATGGAGCTGGCCCACATCTTTGTGCTGTGGACGGCACTGCGGCTCTCTCAGATTTAATTCAGTCCTGGGTGAAGCCTGAGGCTGGCGCAGACCCTCACCAGGGTGAAGAAGGAAAGGCCCGAGGGGCGGGGCAAGCAGAATCATCACAACCACCCCAGCCATGCATGGAGCCCCTGGTGGCTGCCGAGCACTCTACAGCTCTGACACAGGGTAACCAAGCTCCGTTTTACACACAAGAAAACTGAGATCGATGCAGTGAAGTGGCTGGCTGAGCCGACAGATGACAGGGCCGGGGTGGATGTGGAGTAGGAGAACCTCAGTGGGGCCTGGCTCCAGGAGGAGGCGGGAAGCGCTCGCGCCCAGCCCCGTTGTCTGCCGGCAGGAGGCTGATCTTTGTCCTGAGGGTAGTGGGAGCCCTGAAGGGTTTCAGGCAGGGACTGGGTACTCTGGAGGTGACAGAATCAGATCTGAGTTTTTGAGCCATCACTGTGGGTGCCGACCAGAAGGTAGATTGGAGTTGCTTCCACCAGCTGCCATAGCTGAGGTTAAAAACCAGTGGCTGGCAAGACCCAAAGGAATGCTTATAGTATAAATCCATTCATACCACGTTTAGAAGCAGGCACAGCTCACCCATAGCACTTAGAGACCACAGAACAGTGACTGCGTCAAGAGGTGGGAGAGCATTGCCACTGAGAGGGACAGGGCGGCAGGGGATGGCCCTCTGGGGCAAAGCAGTGGTCCCCTCCTGACCTGGAAAGTGGCTACATGGATACTCACTCTGTTCACCAAGTTGGACGTTTATGTTTTATACACAGGAAGGATGTTCTGTTTCACCATAGCATAGCAACATTTCCAGTACTTTCCACCCAACAAAGACTCTAAAACACAAAAATGACGCAAAACTTAGTGGCCACAAGGGCTGAATCCAGTCCCCAGACAGGCTTGGCTTGGCCTTTATGTGACTTTTTAAAAAATATGAGTTAGTTGTCACCTAAAAGTTAAGAGATGTCCATTAAAAACCTAGATTTCAAACTTGTCTTTAAAAATTGGAAGGTTTTGCTGGGTGCGGTGGCACACACCTGTAATCCCAGCACTTTGGGAGGCCGAGGCAGGCAGATCACTTGAGTCCAGGAGTTTGAGACCAGCCTGGGTGACATATCGAAACCCTGTCTCTACTAAAAAATGCAAATATTGGCTGGGTGTGGTGGCATGCACCTGTAGTCCCAGCTACTCAGGAGGCTCCTCAGGAGGCTGAGGTGGGAGGACCACTCCCAGGTGGGAGCCTGGGAGGCAGAGGTTGCATTGAGCCAAAATGGCTCCACTACATTCCAGCCTGGGTGACAGAGCAAGACCCTGTCTCAAAAAAATAGATAAATAAAATTAAAACATTAAGATTTAAAAACTGGGAAGGTTTGGGCACAGGGGAGCCATTTTCCCACATTATCACAATTGGCTGGAATGGAGTGGCCACTGACCCCTCCCTGTGGGCCATGAGCTGGCCAGCTGGCCACAGCTGCCTCCTAGGAGGAATAACAGCTATTACATTCGGCTAAGATTGGAGATAGCGAGGAGATTGCTATGCCTCAAAATAAATAGTAATTTTTTATGGCTAGGCAGTAGGGAGAGAGGAAGACCGTGGCTAGGGAGATGTCTGCTGTCCTTTCTTGGCCCTGGCCCACTTCATCTTGAGCGTGTCTGACTCTCTCCATTGCATCTCTGACTCTTGCCTTGAACATACAGCAGCATGGCCTTGACTATCTTTTTTTTTTTCCTAGACTCTGGAGAACCATACTCAGAGCTCCTCTGAGGTGAGTCCGCCAAGCCTCAATGCTGACAAGCCTCTCACGGAGCCATCTTCCACCCCGCTGGCGCCCAGCCAGTCTCAGGACAGTGTGAATGAGCTCTGCAGTCAGCCCTCTGGGGACGAATCCCCCCAAACCACCAGCGCCCCAGTCGTGGCCCCTGGAAATGAGAACGGCCTAGCAGTGCCTGTGCCCCTGCGGAAGTCCCGACCTGTGTCCATGGATGCCAGAATTCAGGTAGCCCAGGAGAAGCAAGTTGCTGAGCAGGGTGGGGACCTCAGCCCAGCAGCCAACAGATCTCAAAAGACCAGCCAGAGCCGGCCCAACAGCAGCGCCCTGGAGACCTTGGGTGGGGAGAAGCTGGCCAATGGCAGCCTGGAGCCCCCTGCCCAGGCAGCTCCAGGCCCTTCCAAGAGGGACTCGGACTGCAGCAGCCTCTGCACCTCTGAGAGCATGGACTACGGTACCAATCTCTCCGCCGATCTGTCGCTGAACAAAGAGATGGGCTCTCTGTCCATCAAGGTAACGCCGCCTCTCCCACCACGGGCTTGCAGCAAGACCATTGCGGGATGTTCTGCAGCTCCATTTTGCTTTCAAAAGCGTTTAGGGGCTTCCTTGCATTTTAAGCGGTTCATTAAGGAGTTTTGGTTTGACTCATGGTTTAATCTCCAGAATATCTGGGTTGCGTGTGGGATTTAGGAACGTCAAGCAGTTGGTTTGGGTTTAAATTTCAAAGCTTGGTAAAATGCCCTGGTGAAATTTGGGAGCGAGAACTCTCAGGCCTTAGCTACAAATGAATTTCTGTCATCCGGAGGTCAGCCACGAGACCCAGCTGGTAACTGGTAAATCCAACTAAAGAAACAGCTCAAAGCTGTCTTCCCTGCCTCCGGGGCCTTTCTGGAGGTAGGCAGTGTTGTGAATGACAATAGCCACCTCACTAGAGGCCTGGGCGGGAGGCGAACCCTGTACAAGTGCTTTAGAAAGAACAGACAGCCTCCTTCATCCTCTCACATTACAGATAAGCCGAGGAGGCTCAGGGAAGTGAGGAGCCAGCCCAGGGCCAGGTAGGAGTGGGAAGGTGGTCAGACCCTAGGCTCCGAACTCGAAACTCTCCCAGTGGGAGCCATGGCCTCCTTCTTCTTAGGCAGCTGGAAGGGGCTGACTCCTTTCCTGGCCTCCCCGATAAATCCCAGGGTGTTATTAAACTCACGATGGGTCACCTGACCCTCTACCCAAGGCTCATTTTAGAGGAAATACTGTATGGTTTTGTTTTTCCTTCCCAAATTTACTTGGTGAAAAACGCAGTAGAGACTCGAACGTATTTGCTAAGCAAAAGGGAGTGACAGGAGCCGCCACGGCCAGTCAGCTTTAGGCAGGGAAGGGAAGCACATTTCCAACAGGCCACGTGACAAGCATGCACAGCAGCTGTTATCTGTGAGCAGCGTCTTCCTTCGGACAGGCATCCTGCCACTTTTCCTAAGGACACTAGGTGAACAAAAGGGTTTTTTGTTTGGCTTTTTAATGAGACAGACCCACCGAGAGCAGGGGCTCCCCTGCTCTTCTCAAGGCTGTGGAGAATGTTGCTGGTTGACTGCAGTGTGTCAGGGACCTCCAGCTGTTCTAATGAGAGTCCCCCGCTGCGCCAGCACCCCTGGGCGTGACTAGGAGCCTGTTCCTTCAGCGATGGAGGCCCCCTGGCCAGGAACAGTTCTCAGCAGAGGGCTGTGGCTGTGGATGCCCCTTCTTCCCCTCCGCTCTCGCTCCTGCCAGCCTCCACTTCTCACGGCCGGTCTGACCCATCCTGCCTGGGTCCTGGCACATGTGAGCTGGCCACCATAGAGAGATGAGAGTCGGGCATGCTGGGTCTATGCTGATGCTGTCCAGCTCCCCTGGGCGAGGTGCCGTGGGCAGGAGACAGGGGCCCAGACTTCAGGGAGCAAGAACAGTCTGCTGCTCTCGACTCAGCAGGAGTGGGGCTCAGCATCCTGCCACGCTGGTTCCTCAGTCTTCTCTCAGAGGCTGGGAGGCCCTTCGTTAGGAGGGCAGGGCTGGGCTACACCAAAAAGAGTCTTCGGGCCGGGTGCTATGGCTCTCGCCTGTAATCCCAGGACTTTGGGAGGCCGAGGCGGGTGGATCACGAGGTCAGGAGTTCGAGACCAGCCTTACCAACATGGTGAAACGCTGTCTCTACTAAAAATAAAAATAAAAAAATTAGCCCGGCATGGCCGGGCGCAGTGGCTCATGCCTGTAATCCCAGCACTTTGGGAGGCCGAGGTGGGCGGATCACGAGGTAAAGAGATCGAGACCATCCTGGCTGACATGGTGAAACCCTGTCTCTACTAAAAATACAAAAGTTAGCCGGGCGTGGTGGCAGGCACCTGTAGTCCCAGCTACTCAGGAGGCTGAGGCAGGAGAATTGCTTGAATCTGGGAGGCGGAGGTTACAGTGAGCCAAGGTCACGCCACTGCACTCCAGCCTGCCAATAGAGTAAGACTCCGTCCCCCTGCAAAAAAAAAAAAAAATTAGCCGGGCGTGGTGGCACATGCCTGTAATCCCAGCTACTCAGGAGGCTAAGGCAGGAGAATCACTTGAACCCGGGAGGCGGAGGTTGCAGTGAGCTGAGACTGCGCCACTGCACTCCAGCCTGGGCAACAGAGCGAGACGCCATCTTAAAGGAGTTTTTGAAACCAGCCAAGAGGCCAGAGGCAGTGGGCAGAGTGGGAGGGTTATGGGGACACCTTCAGAATCAGAGCTGAGAACTTCCAGAGGGAACCACGTATTAAGACACACTGACACCTCCAGGATTCCGGGTGGCACCTGTACAACCACTTGTGGCATGTGTGATTCCTCACAGTAAAAGATCACAACGATGCATAATCTCACGGTGGTTTGGCTACCAAACCAGTTATGAAAACAGCCTTTAACTTTTGAGCTCCTTGGGATTTTGGCACCTTGCGCGAAGGTTGTGTGTGGTCTGCAGTAATAACCGTCAGAAAGAAATGCCAGGCATGGAACATGCATCGGGAGTGGGCACTGCTCTGTGGATCCACCTGTGTTCTCTCATTGGATCTTTACAACTACCCTGGGAGGCAAGTAGTGTGATTGTCCTCCCTGAAAGGTGAGGAAGCTGAGGCTCAGACAGGACAAGAAGCTGGCCTGGAGACACAGAGCCAGTAAGTGGTGGAGTGAGGGTTAGAACGCAGCTCTTTCTGACACCATGTCCTGGATGCATGAGAGGTGCTGGCAGCGAGGTGGGGGAGGCCTCAGCACAGTGTCCGAAGACTGAGACCTGGGAAAGGCAAGGGAATAAGCTCAGACCCTCCGGCTCCTAGGTTAAGTTGAGGCAAGAGGAAAGATGGATGGCTACATCTCTCTGGGGGTGGTGCTGAAGCTGTGGGCCCAGCAGAGCTGTGGCCTCACCTGCCGTGGCAGGTGGTCCTTAGCTGCGATTCTGAGACTTGTCTAATGGTTTTCCCTGGCCAGGACCCAAAGCTGCACAAAAAAACCCTCAAGCGGACACGCAAATTTGTGGTGGATGGTGTGGAGGTGAGCATCACCACCTCCAAGATCATCAGCGAAGATGAGAAGAAGGATGAGGAGATGAGATTTCTCAGGCAAGCCTGGGAAGGGCCACCAATGGTGGTAAGAGGGTGGGGCTATGGTAAGAGGTGTGGGCATTGGCCCTTTTGGTGAGAGGGCTGTCTGTCTACAGCATGAAGTGGGGGAATCAAGGAGACAAAAGGAAACCCATTTTGCCTTAGATCCTGCACTCCCCCATTTATCCAACCATTCATCTATCTATCCACCCATCCATTCATTTATTCACCCATCTATCCACCTGTTCACCTATCTATCTATTCATCTATCCACCCATCAGTCTACCCACTCTTCCACCCACTCACCCCTCCACCCATCCACCTATCTACCCACTCACCTTTCCATCCATCCATCCAACTGTGCACCCATTCATCTACCCATCTACTTAATCATCCATCCTTCCATTCATTTATCCACCCATCTATCCACCTACTCAGCTATCTGCCTGTCCATCTATCCACCCAGTCGTTCACCCATCCATTCATCCATTCATCTATCCATCCATCCATCCATCCATCCATCCATCCAGTCATCCACTCATTCATCTACCCACTCACTCACCTTCCATTTATCCAACTAACCATCTACCCATCCATCTACTCACTCACCATTCCATCCTTCCCTCCATCTGCCCAAGTATCCATCTATTTATCTATCCATCCACCCAATCACCCATCCATCCGTTTATTCTTCCATCCATTTATCTATCCATCCATCTATTTACCTACTCCCTATCTACCTTTCCATCTGTCTACCCAGTCATCCACCCAGTTACCCCCCATCCACCCACCCACCCATCTACCCATTCAGCCCTCCACCTATCTACCTAACCATTCATCCATCTATCCATCCATGTATACACCAACCCACCAGGTTGGAGACAAGGTGGTGACCCAAATAGATAAGGCCATTGCCCTTGTAGAACTTAACACCTAATGGGACAACATACAGTACACAAGATAATCCCTGATTGTCCTACGTGCCATGAAGGAAGTAACAGGTGACATGATGGTGAGTGCTTGGAGTGGGGAAGGCTGCTGCAAGGGAAGCCCCTGAGCCAGGCCTAAAGGATAAGGGGAGGAGAGCTCGGGGGAGCCCAAGGGAAACTGCAGTTGCTGAGACCCTGAGTAATAGCTATTCAGCTTCTTTAAGGGGGACTGGTGGAGGGAGACAGGGAGATCTTGACTCTCTGGGCAGTCTCTGGGCTCAGGCTGGGGCCGTGGCCAGGAAGAGGGAAAAACGTGGTCAGATTTGACCTACATTTTGGAGGCAAAACCAGTGAGCTGGTGAAGGATTGGAACAGGGAGGAAGGTGTGAGGCGAAGCTGTTTGCTGGGATCCGTCTTTATACTTTTCAGTTCTCCATCCCTCACTTGCAGCCCTCCTTCGGGAGACCCTATTTCCACATTTTGTAAACAAAGGAGGAAACACTGTTTCTGGGCAAGTAAGTCACTTGCCCCGGGTCTTCCAGCTGGGCAGGGGTAAAGCTGGGATTCTAACTGGGTCTGTCTGTGTGAGAATTCCTTCAGGTTTCACTGGACCTTGTAGTTGGCAGGAGTTGGGGGAGCTTAACACTTAGGGAGGCCATGGAGCCACGGAGTTCCCTAGGGGCCAGGCCTTTGCAGGGTAAATTCATGATTAGTGTAGAGAAAATTTCTGGAACATTAATCACATGTTTTTATACATGTGAATTAAAATTTTTTAAATTTTATTTATTTTTATTTTTTGAGACGGAGTCTCGCTCTGTCGCTCAGGCTGGAGTGCAATGGCGTGATCTCAGCTCAGTGCAACCTCTGCCTCCCGGGTTCAAGCGATTCTCCTGCCTCAGCCTCCTGAGTAGCTGGGACTACAGCTGCCCACCACCACGCCCTGCTAATTTTTGTACTTTTGGTAGAGACGGGGTTTTACCATATTGGCCAGGCTAGTCTCGAACTCCTGACCTTGTGACTCGCCCGCCTCGGCCTCCCAAAATGCTGGAATTACAGGTGTGAGCCACCATGCTTGGCCTAATATTCATATTCTTTTAAAAGCATAAGCATGCAGCCGGGCACAGCAGCATACACCTATAATTTCAGCACTTTGGGAGGCTGAAGTGAGAGGATTACTTGAGCCCAGGAATTCGAGACCATCCTGGGCAACATAGTGTCTCTACAAAAAATTTTAATATTAGCTGAGCACATACCTATAGTCCCAGATACTCGGGAGGTTGAAGTGGGAGGATCACTTGAGCCTAGGAGGTCAAGGCTGCAGTGAGCTGCGATCATGCCACCACACTCCAGCCTGGGCAACAGAGCAAGACCCTGTCTCTCAAAAATAAATTTTAAAACTAAATTGTAAAAAATAAAAGCATAGGCCAGGCGCATTGGCTCACACCTTTAATCCCAGCACTTTGGGAGACCTAGGCAAATGGATCACTTGAGGTCAGGAGTTCGAGACAAGCCTGGCCAACATGGCAAAACCTGGTCAATACTAAAAATTCAAAAATTAGCCAGGCGTGGTGACGGGCGTCTGTGATCCCAGCTACTCGGGAGGCTGAGACAGGAGAATCACTTGAATCCAGGAGGCGGAGGTTACAGTGAGCCGAGATTATGCCACTGCACTCCATCCTGGGTGACAGAGTGAGATTCTGTCTCAGAATAAAAATAAAAATAAATAAATAGATAAATAAGCCAAAACCAAATAAAAGTAGTTTTAGATGTTCTGGATCACTTCTCCCTCTGGGAACAGGGGGAGGAAAGACAGATTTTTCACTAGTTAGTGTGGTATCTGCATACACCACACACACACACACACACACACACACAGGTGTCATCTGTGTGGATTGGGAGGCTAGGGCACAGGTGGTTTTGGCAGATGACACCACCTTCTGTTCAAACTAACGGTCACCTGAGAGGCACTCTGGACTCTGAGCTTCAGCCTCAAGAGGTGGGTTTTCATCCCCTCCCCTCTGGGCAATTGAAGTTCCCAGGGATAGAATTCTAGATTGGCCACACCCCATGAAGAAGCAGTGCTCTCTGGCCCTGGCCGTGGGTCCCCATCCACCTCCTAAGCAGAGCAGCTGTGTGCTACTCAGGGTCAAAAGGTGAGACTTGAGGAGGTGAAGAGGTGCTCGTCAGGAACCAGCGTTTTCTCGTTTGCCTGCCGTGGTCTGGAGGTCTGAGCAGCTGTAAACCAGGCCAGGCTGCCAGACGCTAGGGGTGTGGCTGGTCCTGATCATTCCCTGCTGGCCCAGGCCCCTGGCCATACCTGAGCCCTGGCATTTCTGGAGAACTGGGTCACACCTCGGCTTTTGAACTATGTGGTTGAGCATTTATCACATTCCCAGACTGACGAGGCTTCCGGGCAGAGCTCCTCCTGTCCCTCCCTAAAACCGCTTCTGCCGCTCCCTTGCCCTTGAGTCCCAGTCTTCCCCTTGCCTGCCTTTTCTTCTGAGAGCACAGGTGGGCCAGGGCGTGCCAGAGTCTGGCTGCCTGCCTTCTTTCTGTACTCCTTTTTACGCTTTTTGTCAATTCTTCTCTAAACCTTAGTTTCTCTTGAGTCAGGATTTCCGTTTCCTCATTAACACTCTCAAAAACTGCCTCTTCTCTTCTCGCTTTCCAGAGAAGCAGAGGCTCAGTCTTCCCTCTGCGGCTGTAGAAAGCACCTCTGGCTGTTCCAGAGGCAGGGCAGCCATTGCCTCTTCTTCCTTGGTAGAATTCGAGCAGTTGCCACTTACAGAGTGCTGGTCATGTGCCACGTGGGCACCTGACCTGTGCCATCTCATTTATCCCTCAAAGGACCCAAGAGGTAAAGATCGTTAGCCTCATTTTGCAGAGGAGGGAATGAGTGCCACGAGGATGAGTGACTCTCCAAGAGGTCACCCAGCTGGAAAGCTGACTGAGCGTAGATTCAGACGGGCGCTGTGACCCCAGAGAATGTGCTTGGCCTCACTGCACTGCCCAACCCCTCCTTGTGCTGCTCTTGGGGGGCAGTTCTGTAAGCAGTTATGGTCCCTCCGAGCCATGAGGAAGGCCGCTGGGGTCAGAGCATGGCCTCATGGGAATCAGCATGACGCTGCACTGGACTAGGACACAGGCCTCACGGACCCCGACCCCGAGAGACCGCCAGGAGCCCCCAGCTCAGTCAGGATGCCCAGGTTCTTTCTGTAGTAGTTTGATTTTTTTTCTTTTTTTCTGATTATATAAATGACATGTGGCAGTTTTTTCTTTTTTCTTTTTTTTTGTTTTTGAAGCAGAGTCTGACAGAGTGCAGTGGCACAATCTCGGCTCACTGCAACCTCTGCCTCCCAGATTCACACCATTCTCCTGCCTCAGCCTCCGAGCAGCTGGGATTACAGGCGTGCAGCACCACACCTGGCTAATTTTTGTATTTCTAGTAGATGGGGTTTTACCATGTTGGCCAGGCTGGTTTTGAACTCCTGACCTCAAATGATCCGCCAACCTCGGCCTCCCAAAGTGCTGGGATTACAGGTGTGAGCCACCGCACCCGGCCTACATAGCAATTTTTAATGGATTTGCTCATTAAGAAACATGGTTAACACTTGGGGCTTATCCCTCCAATATTTTTTCTGTGAGTACACACATATACACACTGGCAGTATAGATACAAAATTAGGGCATGTGGCTTAGGTCAATTTTTTTTCTTTTTTTAACACAGGATCTTGCTCTGTTGCCCAGGCTGGAGTGCAAGTGGCATAGTCATGGCTCACTGCAGCCTGGACCTCCTGGGCTCAAGTAATCTTCCAGCCTCAGCCTTTTAAGTAGCTGGGACCACACAGATGCACCCCCACGCCCAGCTAATTTTTGTCTTTTGGGCAGAGATGAGGTCTCACTGTGTTGCCCAGGCTGCTCTCGAACTCCTGAGCTCAAGTGATCCTCCCAACTCAGCCTCCCAAAGTGCTGGGATTATAGGCATGGGCCACCACGCATGGCCTATGTAAAATTTTTATTATATATTTTTTAGCAGGTAATAAAGGTTGAACATCCCAAATCAAAAAATCCAAAATCCAAAATGCTCTAAAATCTGCAACTTTTTGAGCACTGACATCAGATTCTCACTGAAACATTTCAGACTTCAGATTTTCAGATTAGGGTTGCTCGTTCAGTAAGTATAATATTCTAAAATCTAACAAAATCTGAAACCCAAAACACTTTTGGTCCCAAGGTTTTTCGGTAAAGGATACTCGACCTGTATAAGATCATGGTTCAAAATTTTTTTTAAAAAAGAAAGAAGATAAACAGTGAAAAATTTTCCTCCCTCATTTTCCTACCAGAAATCCAGTTCTCTTTCCTATGTTAATGTTTTATGGTTTAATCCTTCCAGAGATACTAGAAAAGTAAACAATACATATATGTGTGTACAGACACATATTGTTGTCCTTTTTTCTCCCAGATAAGATGGCATAAGAGACATATTCTTTAATGTCTTGCTTTTTTTTTAACCTAGAGATTATTCCATATCTGTTCATAAATATTATTATTATTATTATATTTGAGACAGAGTTTTGCTCTTGTTGCCCAGGCTGGAGTGCAATGGCACAATCTCATCCCACTACAGACTCCGCCTCCCGGGTTTAGGTGATTCTCCTGCCTCAGCCTCCCGAGTAGCTGCGATTACAGGCATGCACCCCCACGCCTGGCTAATTTTGTATTTTTAGTAGAGACGGGGTTCTCCACGTTGGTCAGGTTGGTCTTGAACTCCCCACCTCAGGTGATCCGCCCTCCTTGGCCTCCCAAAGTGCTGGAATTACAGGTGTGAGCCACCGTGCCTGACCGAATTATTTTTATTTTTAATAGATGTTTCCTTATGTAATTAAACATTTTCTAAAACTTGAATTTTTTAAAGTTGTATGGAATTCCATCATACCAATGTACTTTATTTACATAGACCTATATTGATGGACATTTGCTTCCAATTTTTTACTAAATAACATTGATTTTAAATAATTGCATATTCTTTTTTTTTTTTTTTTTTGTGGTGGTGTTGTTGTTTTTGAGATGGAGTTTTGCTCTTGTAGCCCAGGCTGGAGTGCAATGGCATGATCTCGGCTCACTACAACCTCCACCTCCCAGGTTCAAGTGATTCTCCTGCCTCAGCCTCCTGAGTAGCTGGGAGTACAGGCGCATGCCACTATGTCCAGCTAATTTTTGTATTTTTAGTAGAAGTGGGGTTTCGCCGTGTTGGCCAGGCTGGTCTCGAACTCCAGACCTCAGGTGATTCTTCTGCTTTGGCCTCCCAAAGTGCTGGGATTACAGGTGTGAGCCACCATGCCTGGCTGACTCTTGTTATTCAGTGGTCTTGTGCATCGATAAATATTTCTTTAAAATCAGTATCCAGAAGTGAAACTACTGTGTCAAAAGACATAAACTTATGACCAAATTGTCCTCCAGAAATGTACCAGTTTCTACCGTCAAATTTTCTACATCATGAAAATGTAGTTTCTACACAAATTTTCTGCATCATGTTTTCTACATCATGACATTGTGGTTTCTTTTTCATTTGTCTTTTATATCTATATAGGTGATTCTAAAATTTCTTTTTATCTTTTGCTTCATGTCTGTTCATGTTCTTTGCCACTTTTTTTGGTTAGGATAGTGTTCCTTTTTATTGATTTGTAGGTACTCTTTATTTATTAAGATTATTAAGGTTTTGTCTGTCAATAAATATCAAATGAAGCCTGAGTTCTAGTCATGCCTATGACCAAGACTTGTGTGATTTTGCTCCATGATCCAACCCTCAGTGTTCCAAGCTGCAAATATTGTGATCCCTGAGGCCAGTTTCTTACTGTGACATATCTGTATCCTTTAACCTTTCAGGCGCCAGGAACTCCGAGAGCTTCGGCTGCTCCAGAAGGAAGAGCATCGGAACCAGACCCAGCTGAGTAACAAGCACGAGCTGCAGCTGGAGCAAATGCACAAACGTTTTGAACAGGAAATCAACGTGAGTGCGAGAAAAGATGGGACCCTGGAGGGCTTCTTGCCTCTGTGTGTTCTCTCAGTGGAAGCTACATAGTGGGAATGATTGGGTAGTGAAGAGTAATTCACAACAATTGCCCAATTCCTGGAGGCTTCCTGATCTTGTTAGGCGGTGACTTGTTAACACAGAATCCCGTGAAGGTCACAGTGATCCCGAGTCCCACGGGAGGATCTCCAGAGGGCAAATAACCTTTACTGAGCACCGTGCAACGTGCTGGTCTGGTCTCCCGTTTGCAGATGAGGAAATGGAGACTCGGGCTAAGCAACTTGCCCCGGGTCACACAGCAAGGGGGTGGTGGAGTTGGGATTCAAGCCTAGGTCTGATCACAGGCTCTGAGTTCTCCCCATCCCACTCCCCATGTCCCTGCTAAGTACAAAGTGACTTTGCTGAATTTCTCAGAATTTCTGCTCCTTTCAGGCCAAGAAGAAGTTCTTTGACGTGGAATTAGAGAACCTGGAGCGTCAGCAGAAGCAGCAAGTGGAGAAGATGGAGCAAGACCATGCCGTACGCCGCCGGGAAGAGGCCAAGCGGATCCGCCTGGAGCAGGATCGGGACTATGCCAGGTTCCAAGAGCAGCTCAAACTGATGAAGAAAGAGGTGAGTATGTGCTGGGCGGGGGCAGGGGCAGCTTGGAGTATTAGGGCCTTCTTAGTTGCAAGTGATCGTGGCCCCAGCTCAACCTCACCTTGGCAACAAAGGGGTGTGGCTAAAGAGCTCGGGAGCAGGTGAGGCTGGAACTGTGTGCCCGAGCTGTGCCATGAGGAGCCACTTCTCCATCCTGTGAACTCTGCTTTCCTCTGTGTTGCTGTGGCTTAGGGCAGGCCCTCACCGTGTGGCCTCAGGCAGCTTCCTTTACATCCTCTCAGCTTAGCAACCCCTGCCGAGAAAGAGCAGGGAATAAGGAAGGGCTGGTGGCCCAGGGGAATTTGAGATGCTGTTCCCAGAAGGGCCGGTGGGTGCTGGGTGGGTGGGCACATACAGCATGCCCTCTACGCTCCACCCTCTCTACCTCCTCCTTCTCCCCGTGTTGGAAGGGGAAGGGGAGGGTGGAAGGAGGAGTCTGGTCCTGAGGCACATCTCGTGGGCTGCTCTGGAGAGAGGCATCTGGGTGTCAAAGAACAGCCCATGCCTCCCTTTGTGGAGGACGGAGACAAGCAGGAATACCAGGGCAGTCTCCCAGCTGGGAGCAGTGGATGAGCAGCCTCTGAGGGTGGTCCTCAGGACCTCAGAGCCCAGATTCCAGGCTTTACCATGGTGGGCATGACATTTGGGGCGTCCCAGAGGCCGTGGGCAGCTGCCTCTGGGAGCCAGGGCTCCTGGCCCGCTGAGCAGCTGAGGCAGTCACCTTAAGCACAGATGTACCTCGGAGATACCGCCGGTTTGGTTCCATACCCCTGCAATAAAGTGGATAAAAAATAAAGCCAGTCAATATTCAGTAAACCATGCTATACACAAATGTGCTGTCACCTGGGCTTTGTGGCTCCATTTTTAGAGCACAGGCAGAGTAGATTTAGCCTGATTTTTTTTTTTTTTTGGAGATGGAGTCTTGCTCTGTCACCCAGGCTGGAGTGCAGTGGTGCAGTCTCGGCTCACTGCAACCTCTGCCTCCTGGGTTCAAGCAGTCGTTCTGCCTCAGCCTCCCAAGGAGCTGGGACTGCAGAAGTGCACCACCACACTTGGCTAATTTTTGTATTTTTAGTAGAGATGGGGTTTCACCATATTGGCCAGGCTGGTCTCAAACTTCTGACCTCATGATCTGCCCACCTCGGCCTCTCAAAGTGGTGGGATTACAGGCGTGAGCCACCGCGCCCAACTTAGCATGATTCTTAAGGGCCCCTAGGATTTTCAAAATGGTAAATGAGCATTGGCTTCAACTTCAAGTCATCATCAGCATTAACCCCTAACAAGAGAATCAGCCTGTCCTTTGAAGCTTTGAAGCCAGTCATTGACTTCTCCTCTGTAGCTTTGAGAGTCCTAGATGGCATCTTCTACCCAGAGAAAGCTGTTTCATCTACACTGAAAATCTGTTGTTTAGTGCAGCCACTTTCATCAATGATCTTAGCTAAGTCTTCAGGATAACTCACTGCAGCTTCTCCGTCAGCACTTGCTGCTGTACCTTGCACTTCTATGTTACGGAGCTGGCATCTTTTCTTGAACATCATGAACCAGCCTCTGCTAGCTTCCAGCCTTTCTTCTTCAGCTTCCTCACCTCTCTCAGCCTTCACAGAATTGAAGAGTTAGGGCCTTGCCCTGGATTGGGCTTTGGCATAAGGGAGTATTGTAGCTGGTTTATCTTCTACCCAGATCACTCAAACTTTATCTCAGCATAGGCCGTTTTGCTTTCTCATCGTTCATGTTCATTGGAGTAGCACCTTTATCTTTCGAGAACTTTTCCTTTGTATTCACAACTTGGCTGACCGTCTGGTGTAGGAGGCCTAGCTTTTGACCCAGTAAGTTTTCTCCATGCCTTTCTCACTAAACTTCATCATTTCTAGCTTTTGATTTAAAGTGAGAGACGTGGCAACTCCTGCTTTCACGTGAACACTTGGAGGCCATTGTGGGGATATTCATTGGCCTCATTTCAATATCGTTGTGTCTCAGAGAATAGGGAGGCCTGAGGAGAGGGGAAGAGACGGGGGAAAGGCCAGTCTGTGGAGCAGTCAGGTCACATTGAACATCTATTGATTACGTTTGCTGTCTTACATGGGCTCGTGGCACCCTATAACAATTACAGTAGTGACGTCAGAGGTCACTCATCACAGGTCGTCATAATAGAGATAATAATAATGAAAAAATGTGAAATATTGCGAGAATTACCAAAATGTGGATGGGAAGTGAGAACATGCTTTTGGAAAAATGACGCTGATAGACTTGCTCGACACAGAGTTGCCACAAACCTTCAATTTGTAAAAATCACAGTGTCTGCAAAGTGTAATAAAGTGAAGCATGAAAAAATGAGGTATACCTGCACAACATTTCAGAGGACCCAAGAACTCAGTCATCAAGATAAAAAAAATGTTAATGCAGCTGGGCGCTGTGGCTCACACTTGTAATCCCAGCACTTTGGGAGGCCCAGGCGGGGGGATCACTTGAGGTCAGGAGTTCAAAACCAGTCTGGCCAACATGGTGAAACCGCATCTTTACTAAAAATACAAAAAAAGTAGTTGGGTGTGATGGCAGATGCCTTAATCCCAGCTACTCGGGAGGCTGAGCAGGAGAATTGCTCGAACCCAGGAGGCAGAGGTTACAGTGAGCCGAGATCACGCCATTGCAATCCAGCCTGCGCAACAAGAGCAAAACTCCATCTCAAATATATATATATATATTCTGTTCATTTCTGGATTTGTTAATTTCCAGAGAAGCCAGACAAACAAACAAAAAGTCCAATATTGAATAAATAAAACAGCTACCAACATGCTAGGGAAACATATAGACTGGCTGACTAGAGATCCAGAGAGATCTGCTTTAGACGGGTCTGGGAAAGCCTCTTAATGTTTGACGTGTAAACTGAGTACAGAAGGATGCTGGCAGGCCTAAGAACCTTCCAGGAGGGTGGGACAGCACCTGCAAAGCCCCTGAGGTATGGGAAAGAGCTTGGAGTGTTCAAAGAGCTGGAAAACCATCCATGTAGCAGGCGCTTAGGAAGCAAAGGGGAGATTGGCACAAGGTGGAATCAGACAGGTAGGGCAGAGACCAGCTCATGCAGGGCAGTGGGCCACAGGCAGGAGTGTGCTATTTTAATAATCCTGTTAACGTCCAGTCCTTACATAGATGTTGTAGCATTAAATGAGAAGTACATTCAGGGTTAGACCCAGTATCTGCTCGGAATAAGAGCTGGGTAGATGCCCATTCCCTCCTTGGCTCTGCGCCCTGTCATGTGCACACCTCGTGTGTGTATGTGTGTGTGTATAAGGACTTGTAAGAGTGGAAGAGAGAGGAGGCGACCGAGGAAGTTGCCTAGTTTAGGAGGGGGTTGGGGAAGCCACAGATTTCATCACCCTTTCCCAGAACGTGCCCTTAACAAAGTTGGACTTCTCACCAGCAGGGTTCCAGGAAGGCTCTCAAGCCTGCCGCTGAACGCTGAGGCAGAGTGTGGGATCTGGCACCTGGGGTTCTAATCACATTCAGTTTTTTAAAATATCTTTTTCTATGGGTGTTTTTCTTCAAGAAGTTTTCATGGAAAGAAAAAGCTTAACTTCTTTGCTCTTTTGGCTTTTTTTTTTTTTTTTAAATGATGAGGCTGGAGTGCAGTGGTGCAATCACAGGTCACTGCAGCCTTGAACTCCTGGGCTCAAGTGATCCTCCTGCCTAGGCCTCCTGGGTATTTGGGACCCTGCTAATGTTTTAAAAAAATTTTTTTGTAGGAATGGGGGTCTCACTTATTTGCCCAGGCTGGTCTTGAATTCCTGGCCTCAAGTGATCCTCCTGCCTCGGCCTCCCAAAGTGTTGGGATTACAGGCGTGAGCCATTGCACCCAGACTCTTTGGCTTTTTGAGGAGGACAGGGCTCACACCATTTAGTAAGATGGTGTCCCAGGTACTGGTCTTTTGTGTAGACAAACTTGCTTACTTTGATTCTGCCGCTCACTTATGTAACAGATAGCGATGGCAGAAGGCCAGCAAGAGGCTTTGCCCCATGGCAACCCCAGATATCCCAGATGGCACTGTCCTGCCATTGCCTACTCCATGCTCCTAAGAACTCCTTCTCTATTCCAAAGGTCACCTCTGTGAGGGCTGCAAGGTGCTGGGCGAGGAAGTACGAATTCCAAGTAGGAATGGGAGGTCTGGCTCATTGCCCTTGACATAGTGGTCAGGATGCAGCAGCAGGGGTGAAGGACAAAATTAGAAGGGATGAGACCCCCCCAGGTGAGCAGCCTCTGAACTACCTACAGATGCATCAGCGATTCCAGTGCTGTAACAGAGTAATTCACACATGGATTCTGGAGAGGGAGACCATACACAGATGCAACAGGCACTTTCCTTCAACCAGCCCAGAGCAAGGAAGAGTGTACCTGTCCATTTCCCTACGATCCAATCAGTGTGAGAGAGCATGTCATAATTTAAATTCAGGCATGGAAAACACACACCAAAACAATAAAATAAAATGTGAGAAGCCTCCTGGGACCCTCTTCAGAATTACAGCAATTGGTGTGGAATATTTATCATGCTAATCACTTTTCAATAAGGAGATATGGATATAGGAAAAATAATTATTAGCAAGGTAGTTGAACAGGGACCTATTTATTCTTCATGTCAATTTCTTTTCTTTTTTTTTTTTTTTGAGACGGAGACTCGCTCTGTCACCCAGGCTGGAGTGCAGTGGTGCTATCTCGGCTCACTGCAAGCTCTGCCTCCCGGGTTCTCGCCATTCTCCTGCCCCAGCCTCCCAAGTAGCTAGGACTACAGGCACCCGCCACCACGCCCGGCTAATTTTTTATATTTTTAGTAGAGACAGGGTTTCACTGTGTTAACCAGGATGGTCTCAATCTCCTGACCTCGTGATCCGCCCACCTTGGCCTCCCAAAGTGCTGGGATTATAGGCGTGAGCCACCGCGCCCGGCCATTCATGTCAATTTCAAGTAATTTACTACATCTTCC